ATATGCACAACAAGAAATAGCTGCTTAACCTAACCTAAGTCAGTTATGTGATACTTTGCAAAAAGTAACAGGAAATTACCATTTCTTTGCCCTGTTATATCACACTACATTACAGTTCCCAGAAAACAGCAGAGATTGTTCATTGATCGGGTGCAATAACATACACACAGACGTAGTAATTTGTGTATTCTGACAGTGTCGGAATAAGTTTAGGACTCTGATCAGGGACTAGGCCTATTAAAGAGGATCAGATCTAACACAAGAGATCAGTTTTGGTGAGACAGTCACATAACCAACTTAAGCCACTTAATGCAAGGATCAGCCATTGCAGTACATGTGGTACTAGTTCATGGGTTTGAATTACATCAAAGGGTCGACACTTTTGTTTAAAGTTATAATATATCTAGTTTCAATAACCAACAGAACACAATCAACTGTCTTGGCCTTGCAAGAAAATAAGACTGACTCTGTGAAACAGTTATAACTGGGCCATTTTAGCAGCTGTCTTTGTTCTTTACTCTTAAATATAAAGGTTCAAGAAGGGAACTTTTGCAGCAATGCCATAGAAAACCCATTTTTGGTTCCCCAAGGAACCTTTTAGTGAACAGTTCTTAAAATAAACATTTTTTCTTCTTAGTGTGAAGAATATTAAATAACCTTTTTCAACTATAAAGAACCTAGTGAAATTTCCACGATTGTTAAAGATTCTTCATTGAATAACCACTGCCAATAAATAAACTTTATTTAGAACTATATAGTGTTGAGCATGTCTTAGACATAAAGTAATTAGTGTATTCAAGTGCGTTCCTTCATGCACTGATTAAACCCAAATATTTAAAATGATCAAGTGTGTAAAGCATTCAGTGCTAATGTAACTTTTAATAACACATACAATTGCTGCTGTCTGCACTAGGGTGATATAAGTGTTATATATAGTCAATGATACACCTGTACTTTATGTGTTTGCCATGTGTACCGCAGCGCCAAATCACCTGAAATTGTGGACTTTGATCCGACTGCGAGAGCCCACATTTTCTACATCAAGACCGTTCTTGCAACGTCATGACTGATGTTCCAGTTATTACACAACATAAATTAGTTGCACTTTGCAGTCCTGTACTGAATGAAAAGTTAAAATTTAAGCCCCTCTGTGGCACTACCTTAATTCTAGCAGCCAATCACTGCGGTGACTTTCTGACTCTGACTCTCACATTCATTCCTGTTCCTCTTTATGAGTTAATGACATGTTGAGTAAGGCTCAAACAGAAGCACATGATTCCTCTCTTCCAGACGTTTAGCATTTGAAAGGATCCCTTAACACTGTTGCCTGTATTCTTGATGGGTTATGGACTATATTCTCTGTAAAATATATGTACAAATAAAGAGAATGACTAAATTTAATCTAAAATCTTTTTTTAATTATATTTCTTTAACCACTACAAGAAAGAAAGAAAGGGTAACACTTTACAGTAAGGTTCCATTAGTTAATGTTAGTTAATGTATTAACTAACATGAACGAACCATGAACAATACATTTATTACAGTATTTATTAATCTTTGTTAATTTTAGTTAATGAAAATACAGTCATTCATAGTTAGTTCAGTTCACAGTGCATTAACTAATGTTAACAAGCACAATGTTTGATTTTAATAATGCATTCATAAATGTTGGAATTAACATTAACCAAGATTAATAAATGTTGTAGAAGTATTGCTCATGCTTAGTTCATGATAACTAAAGTAGTTAACTAATGTTAACTAATGAACCTTATTGTAAAGTGTTACCAAAGAAAGAAAGAAAGAAAGAAAGAAAAAGAGAATAAAATCTGAAAGGCTGAAATTCTTGAAATAATATTGCAAGTAATTTGGCATAATCTATTAATAAATATATTAATATTAATAAATAGTAAATAGTACATTTTGTTTTATAATTTAATGCCAAAAAAAAAAAAAGTGTGGCATAACCAGCCTGCAGGAAGCAATATTGTTGATCCTCATGTCTCTAAAGATAATTGTTGTATTATTATTATTTTTAAATAAGACACACACACACACACACACACACACACACATAAATATATAAATATATATATTGAACAATGGAGGGCCTTGGATTCAAAAGGTTGAGAATCACTGCTCTAAAGCGCATATTTGTCCTTGTTCCAATGACAAGGATGACTTTTGTCCATGCGTCAATGACGCGCCAAAGTGAAACCCCTGCAGATGAATAACTTCACGAGCGCCTAAGTACCTGCGGGAGCCGCTTCTCAACTCCTCCCCTCAGAGCGTCACTCTACAGCTCTGCCCTTAATAGCAAAGCGACTCCACTATCGTGCAGTTCCAGCGGAGCCGCCGGTTATTACGGTCAGTGACACATATATCATTCCGCAGGGCATTTTCAGAAAAGCTGCAGTGATTTTACAAGCTTTCGAATAGCACAAATGGCAAAGAAGGCCACTTCGCTTTTCCTCCGGGCTCTGGAGATGTCAGAAAGACAGTCGTGCGATGTTATGAGGAGAAACTCCAACTGCACCATCAGGTAAAAGCGCATCACTCGGCCTGTACAATACTTGCTATTAATACAACTGCAAAAAGAGAGACAAAAAATTGTTTATAAATCATTAGTAGATATAATTCAATTATTTAGGCTATTTTACCTGAACAAACCACCAAATGCGTAGACTACTGCCTAGTTCCGAAAACAGCCGGGTGCTTTTAGTTTCTTTTACAGTTTAGTTCAGGGGTAGGCAAGTTCGGTCCTAGAGAGCCGCAGTCCTGCAGAGTTCAGCTCCAACCCTGAAAACAAAACTCACCTGCCTATAGCCTTAGTAATCCTGAAGACATTGATTAGCTTGTTCAGGTGTGTCTGATTAGGGTTGGAGCTGAACTCTGCAGGATTGCGGCTCTCTAGGACCGAACTTGCCTACCCCTGGTTTAGTTCAACAACTGTAAATAAATATGCGTCCAGTGTTTATTTTAAATGGTTGCAGTGGTGAAAACCTGTTGAATTGAGAGACTAGGTAGCTGTGAACTGTGTGGGAATGTTGAACAAAGCAGAAGAGCAGCTAGTGCTGGTGTAAAATAACTCTCAGGGTAGTGAGAAGTCACGAGACGGAGAAACTGAAAGAGCTGCTGTGAGTACCGAGAGTGCCAGAAGAAAAACTATAGCCTAGTATTTCTGTCAAATATTCCCGATGGTATAACGTAACTACAACATAAAGCTTTCATCCAGTAAATTAATTTTGTTTTTGATTTTTTTTTTCTGAGAGGAAAGCGAAGCGCGTGCATCATTTGAATAATGCAGGGTCAGTGCGCGGCTGCGTGGGCCATACAGCGGTGAAACGGGTTTACCAGTAATTGATCGGCTGCTCTTTGCTATTTACTAGAAAGTATGTCATTTTATCAGGTCAACCTAGAAATTTCCAAAAACACTGCTTCACATCGTTTTTCCCACATTTGTTGTGAACAAACCTGTCAACAAGTTGCATGATGCAACCCTTTACAGACATATGGCAAGAGTGTGGCTGTAATCCATAGTATTCTGCTTTTGTCAGGTGAATAACTACTTTTTATGTTTTTTTTTAGACATTTGAGCTCATGTGGTATCTTAGCTACACGGCCAGTAAGCTTACCTCCTCCTTCAGCATCTTCTCAGATGGTGCCCACCCGGAGCTTCATTAACTTATCAGCCCCCCTCATAGCACGGAGAATGGAGTACTCAGAGAGACGGAGCATTGCGTACGTACAAATCGATGTTACATAAAACCAAAAAATCTTCACTTTCACTACAAGTTAATTCTCATTTAGCAACATCTTTGTTAACACAAGTTGATTTTCCCACCAGTTACTCACCTGAGCAGATGTACAACATTGTTGCCAATGTGGACCAGTACCAGCAGTTTGTGCCTTGGTGCAAGAGGTCAAAGGTAACGAAGGGGCGGAATGGGGACATGCGAGCTCAGCTTGAAATTGGGTTCCCCCCATTTGTCGAACGCTACACCTCTGAGGTCACAGTCATCCCAAGCCACCAAGTCCGAGTGAGTCTAAAAACTATTTAGAAATTAGAAAACCGTTTCAGTTGTGAATGCAAGACATTATTCTTGTTTTAACAAAAAAGAGGTTGTGATTTGGAACTAGATTTATGTAGATTAAGTGGTATTGATTTAACATGGGTAAATCTGATGTTTGTCCTAAGCCTTCAGCATGTCCATGCATCACAGGATCAACTTACATACTGGCCAAGTAAGCTGTCAGGGGCCGTCTGTCTGAAGTATGTACTTGTGTTTCAGGCGGTGTGTACAGACGGGACACTCTTCAATCACCTTGAGACATTGTGGCGATTCACTCCTGGAGCTGCAGGCCAGGCCGAATCCTGCAATGTGGAGTTCTTTGTAAGTAGTGCAACTGGCAAATACAGAGACACGCACTTACACAGACATGCACACACTTTTACAATCTACATTCATCACTTTGACACTTCTATTACTTGTGCTCTTCCTCTTTGGTGGTTTAATCCCATAATTCCTGTTCAAATTGAGCAGAGGTATCAGACCAGATTAGTGGCTATTTTTACCACGTGAGCTGCCCTTCCGGTTCTCCTTAAATAGCTAGTAACGAAGACAGGCATGATAACCATTCAGTTACTGGAGGGAACTGTAGGACCTAAATGTCATTGGATTAGGAGATCCGGGAGATTTGGGAGATTAAAGGACCCATTGATTAAAAAGAATGAAGACTAAAACATGAATGTTAACAGTACAAAGCCCTTGTTAATTAGGTAAAAAAAAAAAAAAAAAAAACTCAACTGAACTTTAGCATCAAAGCTTTTTATTTAAAATCATACAGCACAATAAATGAACTTTTTGGCTAAAATATATGCTAATTTTACCCATAACTGTGTATCCCCTTTCTAGGTGTCATTTGAGTTCAAATCTCTGCTCCACTCACAATTAGCGACAGTATTTTTTGATGAGGTGGTCAAACAGATGGTCAACGCTTTTGAGACGCGAGCAACCAAACTTTACGCCACAGGTGTTCATCGACAGAAGACTTCATTCAGAAGAGCAACTCATTGTTAAAATGGATACAAGGAGATACATAACCACATAACTTGTTAAAATGTTCTGGAGAAGAACAGCTTTTTTTAAAATCCAGTTTGTTGGATTTTAAGGCCAGCACATATTTTTGCTGGGAAAAAAAGAACACGTTTGAGAATCCTATTTATTTAAACCAGATATAATAATTTATTGAGATGAGTGTGTCTGTACAATTTATATATTATCTGTGGAGTGAAAGAGAAAGATGATTGCAGTAAAAATTGTTGAGGATGAATGCTTTTTCATATTTATGATCATTATATTCACACACTTGACAAAAGGGAAAAAATTAGCTCTAAATTATTATTGAGTGCACTTTTTCTAGACTTGTAATAAAACAATAATATATTTACTTAAAACTGTTTTTTTTTTTTTCATGATTTATGTGCTGTCAGAACCACACAACACTAGTCATCCAAAGTTTAATCCTTAAGAAAAAAACAAAAACAAAAAACTTTGGGTTACAACAAAGGGCTATAAGAATAAACCTTAAAGGGTTAGTTCACCCAAAAATGAAAATTCTGTCATTACTCACTCACCCTCATGTCTTTCCAAACCTGTAAGACCTTTGTAACTTGTGATACTCTCGTGAATGTGTGTCGAGGACTGACACAGAAGAGAAGAAATTGTTGAATAAAGTAGTCATTTTTGTTTTCTTTGCGCACAAAAAGTATTCTCATAGCTTCATAAAATTACGGTTGAACCACTGATGTTACATGGACAATTGTAACGATGTTCTTACTACATTTCTGGGCCTTGAACGTTTCAGTTGCATTGCTGTCTATGCAGGGTCAGAAAGCTCTTGGATTTCACTGAAGATGAACGTAGGTCTTACGGGTTTGGAACGACATGAGGGTGAATAATTAATGACAGAATTTAAATTTTTGGGTGAACCATTACTTTAAAACTGTAAAGAGGTTTAAAACACGAGGCACAGCTGATTTCTTTCATAGGTTTATTTAAAATCTAATTGTTTTACCATACCCTAACCCATAATCTGGTTTTCTTTATAAAATATTGCAACAAAAGAGGACACAATGTTTTTTGTTCATATACAAAAGCCACAGGACATGACATACTAGGTATAAAGCACTTCTGTTTTTTGTATTCAGGTTATGTAACTTGCCTGTATTTCTTCAATATCACAATCACAGTATGCCAAACTCTTTAGTCTCGCAAATAATCTGAAACAACACACTACGCTTCATATATTTTAATGAGAGCAAATATTTGACACATTTTATCGGCATTATGTGTATGAGCCTCACAGTATCACATTCAAAATGCTACTTCAGTGTGAAGTCTTGAAGGTGTTCCAAGAAACTGGCATGATTTCAGGATCACTTACATAAACCACCACACCCCTTTCTGTCTAAACCGCCAATTCCTTCCTGTTTCATCAGTGTTGGCCAATCACAGATTAGCTGAGACCACCTCCTTAAAACACCAGAGGTGAGAATATTTTCTTTCAAGAGATTTTCTTACACACAACCTGACAGCAAATGTGTCCAACAAGATCCAGATCGACAGTTTTTGTTCTGTCAAACGTCACATTGTAACTCAATGCATTTTCAACTATAGCTCTTATGTTCTCTGCAAACTCCTGAGTAACAAGATAAATCAGTCTATATCTCTAACTAACTTGTCCCGAATTTTATTTCAGTCATGAAAGAGATTCTATTCCAAAAATTTATAATACTGCACACAGAATGCAAAACAAATACTGTATATTATTCTGATATTTGATTCAGAGGGGCTTTTCATATCATGTGGCATCTCAGGATGCTGTCTGGCACAGATTGCCGAGTAATTCAGCTATATGATAGCTGATCATGTAGCTCGTGACTGGTTCAGGGTGGGCATTATTCCATTTACCTAGTTCTGTGCGGTTGAAGTACATCATATCATATCAGTTTCTTGAAACTAGAGCTTTACACTTTCTGAAGAAATTGTAAGGTTCTTTCCGGTGCAACCTCACAACCATGATGCCAAGTTGTGTTATAAATGGTTGTTAGCATGTTGCTGTTGCTAGGGTACTACGGTGGTTCTTTTCTGGTCCAAGTCAAACTGCAAACTCCTGAGTAACAAGATAAATCAGTCTACATCTCTAACTAGCTTGTCCCGAATTTTATTTCAGTCATGAAAGAGATTCTATTCCAAAAATGTATAATACTGCACACAGAATGCAAAACAAATACTGTATATTATTCTGATATTTGATTCAGAGGGGCTTTTCATATCATGTGGCATCTCAGGATGCTGTCTGGCACAGATTGCCGAGTAATTCAGCTATATGATAGCTGATCATGTAGCTCGTGACTGGTTCAGGGTGGGCATTATTCCATTTACCTAGTTCTGTGCGGTTGAAGTACATCATATCATATCAGTTTCTTGAAACTAGAGCTTTACACTTTCTGAAGAAATTGTAAGGTTCTTTCCGGTGCAACCTCACAACCATGATGCCAAGTTGTGTTATAAATGGTTGTTAGCATGTTGCTGTTGCTAGGGTACTACGGTGGTTCTTTTCTGGTCCAAGTCAAAAGCTGATGATATTCCGTTTATCTTGATATGGTTTGGGTTACTCCCAAGACCCTCATTCACTCTAGATCTGTTAGAAAAGTAATAGCACATCTGTCCTCAACAAGCTAAATGATTTGAGTCATCATTCCTGTCCATAGCCAAAACGTGCAAGGTCTCAGTTTAACCCTGTAAAGCCTGACATATGATATAATAGTAAGCAAAATCTATGTTTAGTTTATCTAATTTATTAAACATTTAGACAAAATACTAAAATTAATTAATTAAAGTTTGCATATGTGTTTTTTTGTTGAGTATCATATTTGACAAGTTTTTAATGGCTCATCTAGTATGATAAAGGAGAATATGGAGCTCTAAAATGCCTCCATTTTATTCAGAGGCCCAAACTGAGAAAAAACATTTGCAGTTTGCAGTTGATGATATTTATATGACCAAAAAGATGAAATTCTGATAGCTTGTAATGTAAATCAATAAGATCTTTATAATAATATAGTAGACTACTTACAAAAAAAATTTTAGAGAAACATTTTTTACAACTCCCAATAATTTGACAAATCGGAGAATATATCTCCCATTTAAATATCATCTTACTCTGTAGTTTTTATCTTTGGAAGCAAAACATAATACAATGCAATACAATGATGATTGAAGATACACAAACATTTCTCAAAAGCCTGATGTACAGTATCATATTTGACACTCATATTTTAACATGGGTTTATGTTTACCTGATTATCCATACACCATTTTTAGAAAAATTAAGCTGCTTCAGTCCAGTAAGTGTTCATCTTAAAATATTACAAACAATACAAGTTATTCTCAAGTTTACTTTATAAAAATCATTAAAGGTTCCACAACAAAAAGAAATGTGTATCAGAACCTGAAGTTTTTAAATTACTCTAAAAGGTCTTCAATTTGCTATCAGACAGGCATGCCAAAAAGTTGATCATGATAATTTAAGATAAATCATGAGGCCTTATTCAATGAATTTAGAGGTCATATAATATTTTGTGTGGATGCTTTCAATTTATTTCAAGATATCTTAATCAGTTTAAGTTTTAAAAACAGATTGTTGAATCCTATATATCTGTCATTCTAATGCTTGCCTTTAAAGCAGCACTATGTAACTTTTTCTGTGTTCAAAATTTGCAAAATGTATATAATGAGCGAGTACATCACGAATTCATCTTCCAAACCGCATTTTTGTCTTATTCCGAATTACTACGGTACAGTTATAATAAGTACTTATATTTGGACTATTGTAGCCTGGTCGGGTCGTCACCGCTGCGGAGTAACACATACTTGCGTGAATCGCCATAGACATTAAAGGGGTCATATGCGAGAAGCGCAGCATCGCGTCGCGCCACGTCTTTAAAATTCGAATACACTATTTTCTATGAGTGTAGGCACACCGGCGGCGCCGTTCGGCGTCTGTCCGCGGCGCCCAGCTACGTCGTGTTATACTTGTAAGAATGGTTCTAGAAATGCCGAAAATGTGACGCTACAGCACAGCAACTCTTCTTGGTTTTCTCTGATGCACTAATTCTGCAGCAGCACTTCTTCTTCGTCGTCTCGTCTGATGCACTCACTCAACCAAGCGTTCTAACCACAACCTCGCCCCTCCCCACCCCCCAACCATTCGAATTTCTGTAGGCGGGAATTATTTTGAATGATCTTCTAATGAGCCGCTTTGTGATATCACAAAGCCCGGAAACCAACGCTGTAGTCCAAACGAGCCGTTCGTTGTAGTTCTTGAAAAGGGATTTTTAAAAAAACAAAATATCTCCCTTTGGAGTGGACTTTGAGATTTGTAACTTTCTAGATCTTTTTTATGCCCAAACATACACACTACACACTGACTAAAATTAAAAAAGTGAAAAAGCATAATAGGACCCCTTTAAGTAAAACACTTCAACACTGATTTCAGATATAAAGTAGGGACCTGCTTTATGGATTTCCAACTAAGACATATTTTTGCATACACATGAAGTAATATTTGTAGGCACAGCGCCTCAGCATCCTCTCACACACAGCTCAGTTAGCATGCTAGGTGTCTTTATACAACCCCCAGGGTTCAAAATCTCTATCTGTGGCCAACATCTGATTTTATTTTGGGCTTGTCCTGGGGTAGACTCAGGGTGCTCATCACGCTTGTTGCCTTAGATAGTTGCAGGCCAGCAGTGTACTCTGATCCTGTGACATGCAAGGACAGATGCACTGACTGCACGTATCACTCTCTCCTGACCTCGCATGATACAGCACACAAACCAGTTTACTGGTATTGGATTTCATAATGGTATGGAATATAGGATAGCAATGGAGATTGCAACATAAAACAGATTTACTTGCAGATAGACCAGTACTATATTCACAATATGATATGGCTACTTTGCATGAATTGGTCTACTTATGCCGCTCCACGTCTAGTCAACTAAATAAGAATTTTAATAGAAGACCTTAGTAATTTTCACAATTTAAAACTTTCAAAATTGTTTACTTTCAAACTTTCAAAGTTGTCAGCTGAACAATCGGCATGTTGTTAAACAACAGTACAACAATCCATTGAACGCACTGAACCTCTGTTCCTCATAGACTCGTTTTCATTCCGGTCAAAAATTTTATTTGACGATACCATGACAAAGGTCAGTGAACTATCATCTAAAAGAAGAAGAGTTAGGCTAGTTTTCATAAAGTAAGGCATAATATATCTGCTCATGTTGCAGCACTGACCGTAGTGTGAGACTATTTTGAAATCCTAGTAAACTCAGGCTGGCATTGCTGACATCTCTGACTAGCGCAACCCTTCCTTCCTCTGACTCAAAGATCTTCATCACCTGCCCGCCTCCTGCTCAACAACACCTCCAACAGTTTTACAATCTAAAGCAGCCATTTTACTACCCCCTAATTGAGTCTAATAGGACTGAAGATGACATTATTATGACATTGTTAATTAAAGGCACACTTACAGTAGGTCTACACTCTCAGAAAAAGGTAGAAAAGCGGTCACCGAGCCGGTACTAATATGTGACCCTGGACCACAAAACTTAAGTGTCAATTTTTCAAAATTGAGATTTATACATCATCTGATAAATAAGCTTTCCACTTAGGATAGGACAATATTTGGCCAAGATACAACTATTTGAAAATCTGGAATCTGAGGGTGCAAAAAAAAATCTAAATATTGAGAAAATCGCCTTTAAAGTTGTCCAAATTAAGTTCTTAGCAATGCATATTACTAATCAAAAATTAAGTTTTGATATATTTACGGAAGGAAATTTACAAAATATCTTGGAACATGATCTTTACTTAATATCCTAATGATTTTTGGCATAAAAGAAAAATCTATAATTTTGACCCATACAATGTATTTTTGGCTATTGCTACAAATATACCCCAGCGACTTTAGACTGGTTTTGTGGTCCAGGGTCACATCCTTTAGGTATGAAGGTCACATAAGGAATCAGAAAGTTGGGCAGAAGAATTACCTGAATTAAAATAACTCCTCGTTGGTAGCTGGTGAGATGCTGCATGCTGTGTAGATAATCAGACAAAAACAGTGAATAACGGTCACTTAAAATGACGTTTACAAATATGTGCAAAACTAATATTTGACCTATAATCACAGTTGGGTATCAGAAAAATCAAGGATTTTATTGTTTTAGAATAAAAGAAAGAAATAACAGTAAACAATGTAAATGTATTAATGTTTACATTTCAGCAAGACATACATAAGAATTCTAAATAAATACATAACTAAATAATTAAATATATACAATATTATTTACCTGTACAATTTAGAAACCTTGGTCTTTTCTGTTTTTTCAATAAACGCTCAAGGAGGCCTGGAAAGAATTGTGGGTCCTTGTTTCTCCAAAGCCTGAGCTTCAGCATTTGTGCATTAGCACACTGCCATCTAGTGAGCATTTCTTTAATAACCGTATGCATTTCAACACAATACCAACCAAATCACCACCAATGTTCATAGAGTAATTCATCTTAAACACACACACACACACACACACACACACACACACACACACACACACACACACACACACACAAACAAGTGCACACACACTCACTCACACACAAACACTCACTCTCACACACACACACACACACTGAATCTGCTTTAAAACAGAATTCAGTTTAATGGTCATCATGGATTGAATGAAAAAAAGATTTAATTTCAATAATGAATTTTATTTTTAACCAGATAGTTTAAGTAAATATCAGACACTGAACTGCATCATCTGTTCTTCATACAGCTGCACTGGCAGATGAACTGTAAACATTGTGAACTTTGTGGCACGCAGCACATTTACAAATAACACTGGTGGCCAAAATACTTGTTTGATCTGTATATATATATATATTAGTTAATAAAAATAGCAACTTTCTTTTTTCCTGCAAATTAGTTGGTCTGACATTTAAAGGGGTGGTTCACTGGTTTTTTCCTAGGTTTGATTGTGTTTATGGGGTGCAGTCTAACATGTGTTAATGCTTCGCTTTTTAAAAAACGCATTATTTTTCACATAATTTACCTTTATTCCACACCACTCTGTCCCTTCTCTTGAGAAACGGGCTGATCTTTTCCTTCTTTTATGAAGCCCCTCCCTCAGAAATAGGCTATGGTCTCTGATTGGTTAGCTAGCCCAGTGTGTTGTGATTGGCTAAACCGCCTCTAGTCCTTGTCTAAACGTCCCGCCCCTCACCTCAGCGGCATGTGCTCCAGTTGTATTGTAAACAACGGCGTCATTAATATCGCTTATCAGTTTGAGTCCGATTGAGAAGCAAAGGATAACGTAGAACCTGTGCAAGCACGGCTTTTAATAGTAGGCCTATGTTTTTTGTTGTCTCATACTTTTAGATACACTGGTATTTGTAAATGCTACTGCTTATGTTAGCTTTTAATATACAGTTTTATCCAGATTAAAGCTTTAATACAGTACGGCAACTGCACGCGCATCCATGTTTAATGCCTCTCATAGCTATGTGAAAATAAGTGTATAATTGGAACAGTTCATTGTTGGAGCTGAGCTGAATGAGAGAGAGAGGAAAGAGAGGATGCTCAAGGCATGGGGAAATATGATAAAGGTCAGAATTAGAAAGAAGACAGGGATGAGCTGAATGAGAGAGAGAGAGAGAGAGAGCGAGATGCAGAGCAGGGGGACCCGAGGAACAGTATTAAGACCCGCTGCTTTAGAACACTGATTTTGAAACCTGTGAATCCATTAGAATCGTTAGAAGACAGAATCGCGATTCATATATGAATAGATTTTTACGTGCACCTCTAGTTTTCTCTTCCTCTTCTCTAAAGCAGCGCAGCATGGCCTCTCCCCCTTTGCTGCCTTTTCCCGAGGGCGGGGATTTTCTGGGTTTGTGATGTCACGAACCCGGCAAGTAACTTGTTGTAGTCCCTACCAGCCGTTTTTGTAGGCATTAAACTGCCAGAATTTTAAAAGAAGATATCTCTGTTTGCATTGAACTTTCAGCTTCGTAACTTTGCAGATATTGTTTATGCTCAAACAGCATCATTACACACTAACTAACGTTAAAAAAGTGAAATCGCAATCTACCACCCCTTTAAAACTGCACTATGACCTTTAAGCTCTTATTAATTTAATCATTACTCATTTTAAATAAACTAACTAACTAATGTTTGGGTATTTTATAAACTTACTCCCAAAATTCTTTAACAGGTGATGATGCATTCTCCATAAAGCTCAGGTTTCTTGTCCCTCCTATTCGGTCAAACTCAACACAGTTTTCTGTAAGGATGAAGGGAATTGTTTATAAAAAACATGATCTATTGAAAACGAAAAAGTAACTTGTTTTATAACATACCTGAATTCCACCAGTTCCTGCAGCTAGCCCATGGCAGTTCACCACTAAAAGAAGAGAAGAGATAGAAGAAAGCCCAGGCCAAAATGACGATGTAGTAGGCACTGGAATAGAAGACAACCACCTGACTCCCATAACCCAGACCTAAAGAAAAGCAAGCCAAAACAATTAACCCCGTTTCTTTTGCTGACAATAACAGATCAGCCTTTTAAACCAACTTGTTTGATGTTTAGTTTAAATGTGTTGGAGAGATCCATATCTCATAGCTATGTGAAAATAAGTGTATAATTGGAACAGTTCATTGTGGAGCTGAATGAGAGAGAGAGAGAGAGAGAGATGCAGAGCAGGGGAACGCGAGGAACAGTACTAAGAACTGCTGCTTTAGAACACTGATTTTGAAACCTGTGAATCCATTAGAATCGTTAGAAGACAGAATCGCGATTCATATATGAATAGATTTTTACGTGCACCTCTAGTTTTCTCTTCCTCTTCTCTAAAGCAGCGCAGCATGGCCTCGCCCCCTTTGCTGCCTTTTCCCGAGCGCGGGGTTTATCTGGGTTTGTGATGTCACGAACCCGGGAAGTAACTTGTTGTAGTCCATACCAGCCATTTTTGTAGGCATTAAACTGCCAGAATTTTAAAAGACGATATCTCCGTTTGCATTGAACTTTCAGCGTCGTAACTTTTCAGGTATTGTTTATGCTCAAACAGCAACATTACACACTAACTAACGTTAAAAAAAGTGAAATCGCAATCAACCACCCCTTTAAGACAATTAAGACTTATAAACACACACATGAAGCTATTGCTCGCTGTTATGAGCTGTGGATTATTGCACTGGGTTAATTATGGATGTCACTATTGACAAGATACTAATCAAAATAACATTCAAAAAGCACAGCCTAGCTATCAGGACAGATTAGTCTGACAGTGACATTCTTTAAGTGCACCATCTAAAGTTCAGTTTACAGTCACCACTACTTAAAAAAAAAAAAAATGACACTGAGAAGATACCAGCAACCAGGCGTTTTAGTTTCTAATCTAATTTCCCTTTTGTAGGCACACTGACATGACAAGCAGATTTACGTGTTTTACATATACATGAGATGTTTACCACAGAAATATGGAATGTGTTCGGATGTTTTCACAGCATTAAAATTACTTTGCACAATCAATACTAGGCATTTAGGTTATTGACGGGTTACAATTACAGTTTATAGCAGAAAAGTTTTACACCCTCACTTTTACACAAAATCACAAACACGGAGGAAAAGAATGTAATGCAAACACTCACATTTGGAGGAGTGCATGCACACATTTACACATACATGAGAACTTCTTTTACTTCCATAGCTCACAGGTTCAGTGAGATCTGGATTCTGTCATTACATGGTCATGTGTTCTGGAAGTACATAAGAAATATCATCCCAAGGATGGCGGTACAAACCCTGCTTCAACCGCTTCTGGTCCAGATAATGACCTGCATAAAAAGAGATAAGGTTGTTTAAATAACATTATTTCATAACAGACACGTCAGAGATAGATCTCACACACACACACACACACACACACACACACACACACACACACA